CGATCTCGGCTCACTGCAAGCTCCGCCTCCCGGGTTCACGCCATTCTCCTGCCTCAGCCTCCCGAGTAGCTGGGACTACAGGCGCCTGCCACCTCGCCCGGCTAGTTTTTTTGTATTTTTTTAGTAGAGACGGGGTTTCACCGTGTTAGTCAGGATGGTCTCGATCTCCTAACCTCATGATCCGCCCGTCTCGGCCTCCCAAAGTGCTGGGATTACAGGTTTGAGCCACCGCGCCCGGCAGTGGAACACTTCTAACTACACTGAAAGGCTCAGTAATAATAACAAGCAAAACAGCAAACACCTATAAAGCATTTCAAATGTTGACTTATTTATATTATATCCTTTAATCCTTACATCAACCCTACCAGCAGCTATTATTAATCAGTTCCATTTTACAGATGGGACTGTAAGGGTCATGGAGCCTCAATTCTACCATACTGGCATTCTCCCTCACCAGTATTGGAAATGGGATTCGAACCAGGCAGTTTGGCTCCAAAGCTTGTGGTCTTAACCGCCGTGCTGCATGGCTTTTCTAAAACATCTCCACTCAGGAGAGAAATGCTGAAACTAACACAGTTAAGCATCAGTAACAGGTAAGGCCTTACTTAGACACGCCTGTCTGGTCCAAAACCACCTTGCCTCCCCGACAGGAGGGGTAGACTTTGACGAAGAATTCATACAGCATGCCATCATCCACGTCTGGGGTCAGGTCCCCCACAAAGAGGGAATACTCAGGGCTGAGGAGAAAGAGCGAGAAGATTCAGAGGCAAAGACCAAAACCCCTGCTCTGAAGAGCTCTGTTGCATATTCCAGGTAAACCTCTCCCAGGCCCCTTAAGGAACACATTTGATACGTCTACTGAATCAGGCCCTACTTTGTTTCATTAGAGCAGTTCTGGCAGAAGAGTTATAGAAATAGTCCCTGCCCCAAATCCCTCACCCACTCCACAGAACTTGTCTGACTTCAAGTATTACGTGAGTGCAGCCACCGTGTCCAGCTGACCTTTGTTATTATCTTATTTCAATTATCTTATTTCAAGTATGATACATATTCCTTATATAATAAGAATACACAAGGCCGCGCGCAGCAGCTCACGCCTGTAATCCTAGCACTTTGGGAGACCAAGGCAGGTGTATCACAAGGTCAGGAGTTCAAAACCAGCCTGGCCAAGATGGTGAAACCCCCGTCTCTAGTAAAAATACAAAAATTAGCTGGGCGCAGTGGCAGGCGCCTGTAATCCCAGTTACTCGGGATTCCCAGTGGCAGGCGCCTGTAATCCCAGTTACTGGGCGCTGAGGCAGGAGAATTGCTTGAACCTGGGCGGCAGAGGTTGCAGTGAGCCAAGATTGTGCCACTGCACTCCAGCCTGGGCGACAGAGTGAGACTCCATCTCA